TACCCCAAGCACAACATGGGTTGTAACAACAGACCCACCTAGTCTCCTTTTTCCTCTGGACAAAAAGAAAATCTGAAGTTAAAATCGAGTTAGTAGATCTTCGGATTTTACTATCTTATCTTTGATCATCTTATCTTGGATTATGTTGGTTATCTGTTTGCTGCACACTGGGTGCCACAGTTTAATCATCGTAAGGAATGCAGATTTTCTATTTGTTTAAAGCAAAGAGAGTGAAGAAATCCAACAGTGGATTGTTTAATTCCAGAGCAGCCAGCTGCACTGAGAAGAGCCATGTTTGAGCACACTCCCAATGCCTACCTGAGGCTTCTTTTTTCCCTAAGAGCTTCTGCTTGCAAGAGGTGCTTCTATCCAGAGATAGAAAAGGAGAGAGGGAAAACAAAGACTGTTAGTAAAGACTGCAAGTCATGCTAAACTAGTGTTTCTAGACCAGTGTTCAACACAACTGTCATGTGCTTTATAGCATATTAACTAAGTGACTAATACATCACATGCTTCTTTCCCCATCCTGTCTTTAGGAGAGAAGCATGTGCACGGACATTTTGTATTTTTTTTTTTCCTTTAATAATGCACGCATGTGTCACTGCATTTTGCTAGAAAAGGCCAGGCCAAAGCCAGGTACTTTATTCTGGAAGACACACTTTTGGGTCAGTTCTCAAGAAAGTCCTGTTGCAAGAATCCCCATCTGGTTCAGCTTTTAAAAATTCACCCCCATATCAAGTTTTATGAGACCAAAAAAAGAGGGAGAATGGAAATTCCCACTTCCAAAAAAGAGGGAGAGGGGAAATTTTCACTTCCACTAGCTTATGTTTTCTCTTTTTGCTCTTTGCTGCAATGGGACTCGTAGTATAGACTCTCTAAACTCCAGAGCAATTTGGAAAACATGAGGTTGGAAAAAAATAGCCGAAGCAAAAGGACTCTGCACAGCCAGCCTCTCCTCTCCCCTCATCCTCTGTATGCACCTACCCTTAAGGCTCAGTGGTCTCAATGAGGAAAATGAAACGCCTTAGGTAATGATAAATCATACAGTAGAAGACAAGTATTGAGCATTTACCGACTAACAGTGCAGCATTGCAGCAGACACTGCCAAAGAGAGATCATTGCCTTCCTTACACCCCCAGGATTCATTGTCTCTTAGCCTGGGAACCTGTCTCCGTTCCCAAACATGGATATTTTTTTTGGCAGCAAGACGGAACAAAAGGCACAAAGAGAACTAAGAAAACCCTTTCAATGAAGCTGTAGTCTTATTTTTCTGTTCCCCTAAGGACGGGAAACCTTCTAAGGACAGCTTATGACACACCCAATCCTGACACCTTTCTGGAAGGTGCTCAATACTCATAAGGACCTAAAGGAATTAGGGTGCTTGCGGATTCCAGCTCAGCTTTTGACCTTGCAAAATTAATCCCCTACCTTTCGCACCAAAAAATACCACAACATTTTGAAAATGAAATCACTGTTACATTTGAGTGGGTGTGTTATTTTGAGGCAGCACTAATGTGATTATAAAATCAGTTGTGTCAGCTTATTGGCTCAGCTACAGACACTGATCTGCTCGAGCGTCTGTTCCTCTAACCGGCTGCTCGCGTTGGGGTGCCTTGTCCCTCCTCGGCTCCGTATAGGAGTAGGTGCGATCTGATTCCCACTGTTGCACCAAAGAGAAAGAAATCCCTTCTTTCTTGCAGTTGCCCACCTAGTCTCCATGAAACTTTGCATTTCCAGAGCACCTCTTGTGCCAAACATGAGCACAGCATCCCCCCAGCCCATGAAAGGCTATAGCCCTTATATATATACATATATATATATATGTTCCTGCAGCCCCAGCCCCGTGCAGACTGGGCTCGCTGCTTCCAAGCAAGAACAGCCAAGGGAAAAAGCTGAGTGGCAGCAGGCTCCAAACCTCCCAGCCTCATTCTTCAGACCCTCCTCCAAATTTTACTTTGCACTTGAGCTCCCTTTAAACATTTCCTCTCACCTGTTACTGCATCCTGGTAGCGAGTATTTGTTTTCCCCTGTTTCTCTGTGGGTGTCTGACAGACACTCGGTGGCTTTGCGCTGCCAGGCACAGTTTAATGCTGCCAGTGGTGGGTGACTCACTGGTATCAGAGGTGTCAGTCCTGGCAGATTTGACTCAGCCCTTCATCTTTTGGCAGCAGATTGAAATAAAACGCAATTTCCATTGTGTCTGAGGCAGCTTTTCAGATGTGGCCATACCAATATGGCTTTGTGTGTATAGGATCTGTAAAGATCCTATAGTTTGCTTGCTTGGCTGGCTTGCTGGTTTTTCTCCCCTCTATATTCTGGATCATTCAGCTGCCTCCGTGCACCTCAAAGACCATTGTGGCTTGTTGCTACCACAGTCATCCCAAGGCCAGGTAAGTGCCACATTCCCCTTACTGATGACAGCGACTCCTAATCCTACCATTAAAAACCTGACAAATAGCTGCTTTGCTGCTTATATAGCAAGAATATCTTAGTTCCCAGTGAAAGTAAAAGGCATCTGAATAAAATATTACCTACCCATCTTTCCGTCCCAGGACCAGCCTCAACGCACTGTGCAATGCTCTCAGGCCAAACTCCAAACTTTCCATATAAAAGCTACATACAGCTGTCTGTCCTGCACGGAATATGTAAACATGAGGCTTGAATCCAACACGAGCTGTGTTTGCCCACAGTACCGTACTCACAAGCTACAGAAACTTGACAGGCACTTTAGGCAATGGTCAAGATGTTCGTTATGGTGATGAGTATCTACTGATTCAACTGAGTGTGAGAACATGTATATTTCTCATCATCATGTCACGTGGACTAACACTGTTGCACCTTCCTCACAAACTCAACCCAATATCAATTAAAAATTGATAAAATTTTTCTAGGCTGGTCATCTTCAGCCTAGAAACCCAAACAACTCACTCCAAACTGTTTTTCATACTAGGTCTGCCAATGAACTGGGCGAATAAAATGGTGGTGGGGAAAACACAAGACTGCTTCAGGAAGTCTGAGCTCGGCTGTAGATCGTAGGGGCCAAACCTGTGACTGTACACAGAAAAACAGAAGCCAGATTCTTCTCCTTTGCTGTCCTGGACACTTTGTTTGCTCTCTACATCTGAGACAATTTGCTCCAGTCTAAACGTTTTGGAGTTTTCCCCCTTATAATCTCTTGTCAGATAAGAATTCTATTACTTGCAAAAATGGACAGATATTTTAAAAACTGAAACTCGTGAACTGCCTGAATTCATGAATCATTCACATTGTGTTTTAAAGTCTTTTCTGACGTTCTAAATCTGGTGTCCAGCCTAACGAGAAGAGGTTAATGCACTCTCTTTAAATAGACACTAAGACTGTTCAGTGCCAGATCTCAGCTATGGCTTACGCCGAGTATTCACCCAGCATCCGCCTTCCTGCTTATTCCCAGAGGTTTTCGGTCAAAAGCACAGCTTTCTATTTTTGGCAACTAGTTGGAGTAAGGGGATGGAAGCAAGAGAACCAAGTCCTGAGGACTTACAAGAGCTTGCACAAGAGGAAACCCATACCAGGATCTAGGAGGATGTGCACAGCCCTTCCCTTCCAGACTAGAGGGCCTTGAAAAAGGATTCCCCAAGTCATTTTGTGCTGCAAAGTGGGAAGTGTAGCTGAAGCCGTGTCACAGCCACGGGGTTGTCCACAGCCCTCGAGAGCAGTGGCTCTAGGAGATTGGTACAGGTACTGTTCACACAACAGCACATCTTGTCTCCATTCAGCTTCTCATCTAATACAGAAGATATCTCGCAAATAAATGCTAAATAAGGGCTATTTCATAGAATCATTTAGGTTGGAAAAGACCTTTAAGATCATCAAGTCCAACCATAAACCTAACACTGACAAGTCTACCACTAAACCAAACTGCTAAGTCTACCGCTAAACCACGTCACTAAGCACCACATCTGCACATCGTTTAGATACCTCCAGGGATGGTGACTCAACCACTTCCCTTTTAAAGGTTTTTCTGAAATAATGTCACTCAGCACCTACAGCACATTCTGCCTTCGCTGCAACTGAAGAAGCTCCCTGCAAGTGAGTCCAGCGTGGTCCACGCCATCGAGGTGGGTGGAGTACAGGGAGAGGAAACGGCCACGCGAGCAGGACGGACGAATGTGGCTTCTTGCAAAGTGAAGGCAGGAAGGTCAGCTGCAGGCAGCTGCCTGCTCTGGCTTGCAGAGCCATGCACCGTTGGGCTGAGGGAGGCACCAGCAATTAGGTTTGTAGCTACCAAAATGGGAGCAAATGAAAGATTAGTTGTTTTTCCTTTCAGGACACATTCTGGGACGCCAGCACAGTGCTCAGACTGTGCTTATCTCAGATTTGGCCCTCAATTGCCCAGAGAAGTTGTGGCTGCCCCATCCCTGGAAGCGTTCAAGGCCAGGTTGGATGAGGCTTTGAGCAACCTGGTGTAGTGGAAGGTGTCCCTGGCCGTGGCAGGGGGGTTGGAACTAGATGATCTTTAAGGTCCCTTCCAACCCAAACCATTCAATGATTGTGGCAATCACCACCACTGAGCTCGGAGTCTTCCCGAGCATGTGCTTCTGCCAGCCTGGATGGGTCAGGGACGAATCCCAAGCACTTCTCTGAATGCACCTATAATGTCCTCACAAACTGCAGCACGAGCCCTTAAACAAACTCTAAACCTCACATCAACTCTGAACCTCAGCACTGGAAAAGAAGGGCAGGAAGGGCAACTTAAATATTATTGTCTTGGTTAACGAGAAGAAAAGAAAAATTTTTTTTGGGGGGGGGTGGAAATCAAGATGTATTTTGGCAGTTTTCCATGTCAGTTTTCCCATTTGCCTCCCTAGTGCACTTTCTGCAGCGGCAATCTGTCCTTTCCCTGAACGCTGAGCAATCCAGGCACCAAACTAATCAATATTAATAGCGATGGGCTCGGGCGGGGGGAGGAGAAGCGAGGAGAGGAGGGATTACCCTGACCTTTTCCAACTCACACTGCCTCAGACGGCCACCAAGCAGCTGAGGAGAGAGCAGCCAGACGGTAATACCATGTGGTTTTAGTAGCTTTTCATATATCTTTTTTTTTTCCTGTGAATATTTATTTCTGTCAGTGCAGATAGCAATGAAATCTGATTGTCTTCAGGAAGGGGAAAAAAAAAAAAATTATATCAGCCATCTCCGGGCCAAGCCTCGCCTTGATGGGAAACTCCACTGAAATAAGGGGAATAACACCCAGGCTGGATTTTAACTTGAATTTCCATTAAAAACAGGAATTGGATTAGGGAAGTTTTGACAGGTGAAGCGTTGAATGCCAGTGTTCTTTGTGGATCTCTCCTATAATAGAGTATAATGAAACCCATTGAGCCTGGGACTGGGATATTGAGTGCGAGAGAGCAAACAAAGGGCTGGGCGAACTGGTCCTCTATTGTTAAGCACAAGTGTCCACAGCAGCTCATCCAGATACAGGGGTAGGTACACACTCAGGACCGGGTGCTCGGAATTAAAGGCAAATCCTGTTAATTAAAACGAAATCATAATTGAAGCTCTTTGTTCGTATTGGATTGGGGGTTTATCGTAGACTTTCTGCTTAGCAGCATTCCTTAGAATAGAGGTTTACGTCAGGAGGTACTGTGGATTGTTGGCAATTAATGCATTATCTTGTCTTTACTGGGATATTCTTGTTTCCATGTGCAAAATATGATTTTTTAGAAATTTCATCTGAGAAATCTAGATAAAATTATATTTATGCCATTCCTCTTTTGCTCTGAAAGAGCCAAGCCTCGGGGAGAGGTCCCAGATTGAGGTGTTAGATTTGTGGGATGTTTTTCGAGTAAACATTTTTATGGTATTTTCTTTTTTTTTTTTCTTTTGAACATAAAATGCTTTGCAGATGGCTGGTATCACAGCACTAGCTAATGAAGCCACGGGTGTGTTTTTCCTTTCTTTGTCAGGACCCATCATGTCCGACAAACCAGATTTTGCAGAAATTGAAACGTTTGACAAGACCAAGCTCAAGAAGACAGAAACCAGAGAGAAAAATCCATTGCCCACTAAAGAAAGTAAGTGTTTATGAGGCTGTTTGAACTAAGAGTAGCAAGGACACAATCTGTGTTGCAGTTCATATGCAAAATGAATACTAATCACAGGATTACAGGCTCAAACTCATCCCTGACTTTAACTGGGGATAATACTAAGACTTGTACTCTATGCTGGGCTTCCAAGGATAGAAGCAGTTATAATTGATGGTGTGTTTTGTCTGAAATATTCTTTCTGATAGGACTGCTCTTGCTTCTGCTGAGAGCAAGACCAGTTTTTCTGCTGGTTGCAGGTAATAGGATCAAACTGTTTGTAACTGCCATGTTACCAGCCTCTTCAGAGGCACAGGGGAACCCTTGCACATCCCTGGCAGCATCCCCAGAAGGTGCCTGGGCTCTGGATTTAACATGTTTTCAGGCAGATAAGCTGCTGCTCCACAGTGGTACCTGCTGTCAGCCCTGGCCAGGAGAGCTCCAGGTACCTTCTCTGGGAATAAGACTGCAAGAGAAACCCATCATCATCCTCATCTAACAGGTAATCTTCCTTAACAAGGCACTCCTGGGCTTTTCTTGTGCAGGGTCTTCTCCCATACACGCAACATGCACAGGCAGCCAGGTGAGGGTTGTGATTCACATTCAACTTTGGATGTGAAAATGGCATTTCTCTGTATTTGGACCAGACTTTGTGAGCAGTTTCCTTCAAAAGGGTCTCTCTAACCACTTCAGATATGTCAGTATAGATAGCCATGGAGACGCACTGTCCCTTGACATAAGATACCTCTTTTGTCCCTGTTTTATTATCCCCACCAACTCTAAAGCTGGAAGTACAAAAGGAGGTTTGCACATCGCGAGTTGCACCCTACTAGCTACACAGACGTGGGAGTGAGTTGACATTGCCAGGGTGGCCAAAGAAAGCAGGTGGGGACTTACCATCCCCTGGCTTTAAGAATGACCGTAGAAATCTACATCCTGCAGAATCATTGTAGTGTTTATTGACGATGGTTTTGTTTCCTCTGTTTTTCTGACAGCTATCGAACAGGAAAAGCAAAGTGAAAGTACAGCCTGAGCATAAAATTGAAGATGTGACTGCTGCTTCTTCAGTGGGGTTTTGGCTTCCGATTCGGGTTGTTTTGTTTTGTCACCACCATCCTGTATTTGTTGCCCATTTATTTTAGCAAACATTTGCTCATTTAATGTTCCCCAGGGAAGAAGGGTTTTTTATGTTTGTTGAACGAGATACTGTGTATTTGTAGTCTTAAAACTGTGATTCCAAGTTCTGTATCAACCCCATTACGGGCCAAAAAAAGCAATTTGCATAAAAATTGTTTTCTAAACCTCACAATAAACAGGTTTCTTCTGATCAGCTGTCTTTGAGCCTTGCAGAAATAAGGTTTACACTGTGACTCTTGCTAGCATCCTTCTCACTTTGTGTTGCTACAGCATCTAGAGAGCATGGCCAGGTTGAGAAGAGTCACCCCAGGCACCCACAGATCCCCCTGGCTGGTGCACAGCCCATCTCTATCAGCACATACATCTGTATCCTGCAGACTCCTGGAGCCACAGATGGCACCAACCCCCAGCCATCCCCTGACTGCCTTCGCAGCAGCCTGGAGACTTCACTCCCTCTCTTGATCTCACTCAAAAGAACATTTCAGGGGAACTCTGAGGGACAATTTTTGTATGCCAGTAGCTCCTAAGCTTTTACACCTCCAGCTTGGCAGCAGGCATGAATAAAACGGGAAGTTGCTGGCCTGCTTCTGTCCTGTCCAACACTAGATTAGAGGCCTCAGATGAGTACCCGCTTACAAATTCCACGAAAAATTGGTGGTTGGGCTGAGGAAATACTCAAATTAGCATCTCGGATGAGAGAGGTGCTGCAGTATCCTCTCTGCAGCTTTTTTCTCTCTTTAGCCTGCCCAGATCCAATCAGCCTCGGGTTAACTGCCACACACCTAGCCTTCGGCCCTTCTTATGTCAAGCAATATAGGAATACGGGAAGGTGGCAGAAGGAAAGAAAATTTATTATTGCACTGATTTTCTGGGATGAGAAAGAGACCTTCAGCAGCACAGAGGTGTAGGACACAAACCTTCAAAGCAAGCAAGGACTCCCTAAATCTTCATTATTGGTGGTGCAATAACATCCTCACCCGTCTGCGGAGGGCTTAGCAAAAATAGACTCTGGTACCAGCTCAGGGGACTCTCAATTACACAGTATCACATTATCTCTGGAATTAATTTGCAATCATATTAGAAAAACAAGTGCTTATTCTAGGAGGATAAACTCCTGTCCCTGGAGCTTCAGTTTGATCCTACTTGTGCTGTGAAACAGGAATAATTCGGTGTACTTCAACAGGGCTACCCTGGGCTTGTGCCTGTGTAAGAGGAGGCAGAAACAGCCTACAGGCTTCAGAAAACAGAAATGAATGGCTGAGGGGGCTGCTTACAAAGCTCTTGTTTACTTAAAGGTTGCTTGACACTTGATATTTAATGTGAATAGTCCGAATTACAATTAAACAATAGCAGCGTAGCCATGAAATGGGTGACTTTCAGTGGCAAGGAAAAGTAAACAGAGGTGGCCCAGAGGCCAAAGGAAAAGGCAGGGCATGCAGGACCACGGATTTCAGTTAGAGCTTCCTTGATGTCAGTGGTGTTCCAAGGGCCAAGACTGACATTTCAATCACTACTCATCAGTTCAACATTGCTGCTGTTTTCTTTTCATGGCCAAGTTTTTTTGCACATTCTCCTTAGAGGACCTCATTCCCCCGGGCACCTGACTCTAAGGGGGCTTTTTAGGGTCTGCTGGATTTATTAGTACTCATTTTTATATAAAGGGTGAAGAATGTGAAAGGTTGAGCAATAAGGAAAACAGTGCTATTTTCTTTGTGACTCATGCCCTCCCCTCACCCGCACATGGCACTGGGGTCAAAGAGCCTTTGACATGACTTAAATATCTACTTTTATGACAGTTCCTTCATGGAGAGAGCATTCAGAGACAGCATGTAGAGCAACAACACCTCCTGGAAACTCATGTAGTTAATACTGTGCAACCAGATTATCCATTACTTCTCTGCAGGATGATTTTCCAGCACCGCGTTGCACTCAGCGGGTAAGCCCCCTGACTAGATTTTCTCCTTGTTTTTGCCAGGAGACAGCGCTTTGTTCCACGTGATCATCTCCCTCCTTCTCTGCCAGTTCAGAGCATCTGCCAACTCACTCAGCACAATATGCTGTAAATCACCAAAAAACCCTTTGGTGCAACTGAACCCATGGCCGGTGTCTGGGCTCCCAAGTTCTTCCAGAAACTCAAGGTCTGGGCTGTGTCCTCAAGCCTGCACTTGGCAGGGGGAAGGGAAAGAAGGTCTGGCCAAAGCAAGAAAACAACAGAGAAATTCTCCTCTCACATTTGCACAGATACAAAGGATTAGCAGCGTGGCTCTAAGGAGCAATGCAAGAGATCAGAGCACTGTCTGCAGCTCTGGAGACATCGAGTTTGCCCAAGCAGATTGGAGCTGCTCCCAGTGCCTCTGCAGGGCTCACTCTGCCCCCCTGAAACCTCCTCCTGATTTAGCTGTTTGCTTTTAAAGCCTGACACCATAAATTCAAAGTCTCAGCACTTTTATTCACGCATCTTACCCCACTGAAACGGCCACATAAACAAGAAAAACTTCAGCCAAGTTCCCCTCCGCTGGACCTGACCGCAAAAACTGTCGAGCTACAGCAGCGTATGCAGCAGCTGCACATTGGGAAAAACTCAAGGTTAAAGGCCAGATCTTCTCCCCTTCACCCACCTACCCCAGGTGGAACACGGCTTTATGGCAGAGTTTGGAGACCATTTCCTTCACAAGTAGCAGTTAAGAGAGGCTTAAAGTTAAAGACATGTAGTTACGGTACCCCAATTCAAGAAGGGTCCCTCTCTGCTGCAGCATGAAACCACTTCAGCCCAGGAACTGGATCATGAGATTAAAATTTGTCAAGAGCAGGGACAGGTCTGGTTCCCCGTTATCTTAACCAAAGGGCATTACAGCCCTTATCTGCAGGGCAAGCTGGGGACACAAACAAGGAAGCTGCTCATCACTTAAGGCCAAGACTGAATTTTCATCATTCCAGTCATTATACTAAGAAAATATTTGTTCCTGCCATTGGAAGGGACCTACAAGCCAAAGCAAACCCCTTACCTGCATCTAGGAAACACCTTCTGGGTGTTAA